GTAAGTTGCTGAACATGGGGAAAAAACATCATGTCAGCATGCTGTGGCTGGAATTTGAGATTTGCTGAAACCTCATATTAGCTTCAGATTTTTAATTCATTTTTGTTCCAATGAGCAGGACTTGTGGTCGGTATGAACAGAAGGAGTGAGTTCAGCAACCAATAACATAACCTGTCCTTCAGGCAACTTAGGTTTCATCCCTAATATAAAATACTAATAGCTAAGAAAGTAAGTACTGCAAAAGGTCTGTACTACCAGATAGCTATCCACTTCACCCGTAAAATGTCAAAAGGTTTACATTTCATGATGTAACGTCTCTTCACAGATGTCTACTGCGATCACCGTCATCCCCACAATCATAATCCTATAAAACCACTCGAGTAACTGCAGTTTGGCATCTGACACCACTATCACTTGACATATTGGCATACAGCTTTATGTTTTGGTCTTGGCTTCGGTCAGTTATCAGATGACCAGTGAGATATTTCCTGCTAGTGATTTCATTTGTGAGGACATTGGAGACCCATTAGTCTGGCCGGGGGCTGAGAGAGGCAGGAAACTGAGGTGTTGGAAAGAATTACTGTCTGTAGACAGTGATGGAAAACGTGAGCTGAAGATGACAACGGCCTCTAACTGACACCCAGAATAATCTGTGTGGACAGGTAGAAGCCTGCACTGGCTCGTCCACTGTGTTGTCCTCCGGGTCACCGTGTTTAAATATAAACTTTAGGTAATGTGTTTGTTTTAGTCGCACGCAACAAGGGTTGAATATCGTTTCGGCACCAACGTCACAGTTAACGATGCAATGCAATCAGGGGACACACGTAATTATGATGTTGATCATTTGAAACATTGTGCTTTTCCTGCTAAACATCTATCATGTGAGCGTTGTCCTTGTGACCATGTTAGCATGCAGACGTTGGTATTTAGTTTAAAGCACAGCCTCACAGAGCCGCTATAATTACTGTAGACTTAGAGTCTCTTCTACGTCCTTCTGCTAACCTCCAAAAGAATCCTGATTCTGTGTGAAATCGGATTCACATCGAATGACTAATCACGATCATTATGTGTCGTTTGTTCAGTGCACGATCAAATGAAAACATGCTCAAAAAACGTCTCATGTAGTTATTTCGGTCTAACTTTTGAATGAATTAAATGACAAAAGAAAAAAATGGCGATGAATGAAAATGCTACGTCTGGTGCAATATTTTGGTTTTAGTGAACATGACTTGGAGCAAAAATGGGTAGATTTTTGTTTTTTCTTCACATGTAAAGCTACAAAAATTGAAATTTGTAAATATTTGGTGTAATTTAAAGCTTGAAACTAAAATAAAACATCTTTTATCCCTCAGATCAAATGTCGTTGAGCTCAGTAATTTAAAAATAAACTTTACACGTATTCATATGCTTGAAATTTGTTGCCACCATTCCAACGTTTGAAAGTAAAGCAGGGACATCACGTTGACATCATATTCACGACATAAAATGAAACTAGATATCGTCATGTGTTCTAGTCATCATCTTCCCAGGTCTTAAAGGCTGCAGTCAAGTGAGATCATTGAACTGCTCCGAGTAAAAACAAAAGTGGGCGTCATAGTCCATAAAACTCACAAATAGTTTAGACCAAATATTTTAAGAAAGCACAAATAATCAAAATCACTTTAAAACATCAAGCCATGCTTTTAAAGCCTATCATGATATTTCATTTTGTAAGTGAGTGAGTGACTACTGGAGTGGCACATTTTACTTTAACAGCCCTATCATTAACTTGTACATAACAGATTTCCAAACAAACACATACACACACCAGCACGCCCATGTACGAGATTTACGTGACCAGTATGCTGCGTGACTGGGTGCCATTTTGGCGCCTTTGTCTCTATGCTGGGTTGAGCAGCTTTCGTAAGTTGACACCTACTTCTTCATATGACATGTCATGCGGAGGAGGTCTTTTTGCATGTTTATGGATATCGGTGCCGCTCTGTTCACGCCAGTCTGGCAGCGGACAGTAACACGAGGCCACAAGGAGCTGATGCAGTGTGTAAATTAAACGGGCCCTTGGGTTGCTGTCTCTGTACCCCTAATAAAAGGCAAGCTTGTGCATTTGCAGTGTTTTTTTTAGTGTAAGTAAACAGGCAGTGTAGTTGTAGTTTTTGGTGGGCATTTGGTTGTAAAAAGGCTGACATCTAACCTTTGCTACTGTGCAGCTCGGCTCAGGGGACTTTGGAGCCACACCACCCGCTTTAGATGGATGGGTTAACAGCAGCTCTTGGGCCAGTAGTGTCCTGTGGGGGTCAGTGCCAAGACAACTTCAAATGTGCAAACCATAATCCCCCCCTGACATTAATATTTTCAGATGGAGGCAAGCAGGGAGCATGGTGGCGGGTGGCGATGTAAGCAAGGTCTTTTTGGCTGGCCTTGTTTCATGCTGGCAGTGGTGACAGACACTAAAGCCATTACTCACAGTGCAGGCATGTCCAGAATGTATTCTTAGCCCCTGTCTTCCTATCAGTCACTACAGAAAGGTTGGAGGGTCAAAAAATAAAGAGGTAACCAGTCTACAGCGCTGTCTGCACCGCCGCTGTTTACCAGGGAGGGGGTGATATTTTAAACCTGGGAGAGCTCACATATTTACCCCGCTGAGCCTGACCGACTTGCCATTTGGTGGGGTGAAGACGCTGGAGACCACTGATAGAGGAGACAAGAGGCGAAGCGAGAAGCCCTTCAGTTACAACTTGTTCAGCAAGTACCTTGCAGCTTTTTTTACACAGAAAACAATCCAGAGAAGAAGAGCAAGAGTATCAGAACAGAAGGAGACTGAGCTGAACAGAAGGTTGGAGGATAAAGGCGAGAATAGAGGGGGAGGCGAGCGGGAGCCAGGCTGAGCTGACTTCCCCCCCAGAGGAGGAGTTGCAGTTGCCGGCCAGGGCAGGTCCCAGGGCTGGCAGGGCTGGTCCACCTGCTTCTCCACCTCCATTCCTTCCTCCTCTTACTCCTCCTTCTCCTCCCTTTAACAATCAACTAAACTGCTGCGCAGTGATGAACTTACAGGCAGAGCCTGTGAGCAACACAGGAATGCTCAGAAAATCCTCCCAAATAAATTCCTCCGCCTCAAGTCAGGGAAACTCGAGAGGTTGAGCCTTCCTTAAGAGTACCTCCACTACCGTATAGACTGTCACCCTTCTGTCTTTTTTGTTGTTGTTGCACTCACTGGTTGAGTGCAAACTGAGGGGATTTTTTTTTTATACACTTTTTTTCTCTCAGTTTTTGTTTTGTAAACCGGAACCCTGGCAACCTTTTCAATAGCACGGTGCAAGGACCAGCTCCACTCACCAAAGATGAGCCGCTGGCTGAAATGCACCTCCATGCACTTTGTAGGTATTTTTTGGTCTCAGTTTGTCACCACAATCTGTGTTTATGGTTTCTGTTCTGTTGGTATGCTTTTGTCTACAAATTGAGTTATCTAAACGTTCTTCTCGAGGCAAATTGGGAGAATTATCATCGGTGGGTAAATTGAGTGGCTCATTAGTTGCGTCACAACTGTCGTATATTCTACACGATGTTGTCAAACTGGTGTATGTATGGCTTCATTATTTTGTTATTGTGTAGCGTCAGTGCATTGCTGCTGTGTACGTACACATTGCTTGTGTTTGAAACTCAGTTAAGGTTATAATTTGTGTTCTCTGTTCATTTTTTACTCCCAGTATAAAACACTCCACTTGAAGAGTGCTTCCCAGAAGCCTGAAAAGCACTCTGTTCCCATGCTTTGTAGCTATCACTCATGAGGGGGTGGGGTTAGTGAAACTGCAGCACAGCACATTCTTGGCACATTCTGCTTTAACTTAAGTCTATTATTGTACTACAAACTACATTGCCAGTGTGTCATATGCATATGTCACTGTTGCATTTATTCGTCAGCTAAAAGAACTGGAAACCACATTGCAGGCGTTACACACTACTTTTAAACTACGAAGGTGTTTGGTCAAATATTTGTTCAGCTATTTGATTTTGGGAAATACTGTCAAACGTCCTGCATGTCTGAAAGTTCATTGTCTTCACTGTCAGAACACAGACTGGAACAAGTATGACGATCGGCTGATGAAGGCCGTGGAACGGAGCGAGGCGGACAAGGTGGCTGCCGTTCTCAGCAAGAAGGGCATCATCCCCACCAAGCTCGACGTGGAAGGACGCTCGGCGTAAGTAAACATAACCTCTGAACATTTACAGACCTGCACTCATCCTTTGCAACTCTAAAAGTGCTGAGCATTACACATTTCAAACATTGTTGTGGTTCTCCCACCACACCTTCCCAACCTTGTTTCCCAGATAAAGCATCTATTGATAGGAATTTCTTCACAATTGGATCAATCTTGCTAAGAAAATAATTTTTCCTCTTGTCTCCCTGCACGACCCTAAAAACAAAACAAAATCCTGCCCCCTTCCAAAATTCCCCGTGGCTATAGTGACCCTGTCAAACATTTTCAACCTTAAGACTTCTCCCAGGTGCCCACCGTATGCATTTGCAGTTGCATATTATCATTATGAGTCCATTTTTATATCCAGAAATGTCTCTTTTGGATCCATCTGACTCGAGGTCATTGTGTGGGAGTTGGTACAAGAAATGTGTGTGGCCACTGAAGGCCTGACCACATCTGTCTGGAGGCTGTTTCTGTGGTCCCCACAGGAAATGACTCCCTGTAAATTCAGATCTGATCCACTGTGGTGCTTTTGCGACACAAAGTAACACATTTTGGCCCAGCTGCAGGCTATTATCAGGATCAGTCGACATCTTTAAGGACCATGTTTTGTTTGGTAGGATTTTTTTCAGTCGGAACCTCAGGTTTTGTTTGTTTTTGTTTGGTGGATTTACACCCTTCACAAGGTTCCATTAGAAAGCCTGAAAGATGGGACAGGAAGAAAAGCAGGTCAACCCAACTGAAACATGTACAAGGAATTGTTTTTGATGATGCATGACCACAGATATTTCAGGTTTCACTCAGACGTTTTGTTTTGGTCCGTAATGGCATAATGGAAAACAATGCATTGAGACGTTTAAAAAAGTAGGTACTTTGTTTTATTGCTAAATGTAACCGGATTCCAACCCCAGCATTTTGGGAGGCCCGGCGCCCTCAGTTTAATCCTAGATATATGAAGAAGTCTCTGGTTTCTGGCTTGTGCTTCAGGTTTATTTTGATAAAGGCTTTGTTAAAGCATAAAACTATGGAGCCACAAAGCCTGGCAGCAAAGGTGCCGAGTATTTTCAGCAGTGTGTGAAATTCTGTCATGGCACCATTGCACAGACCAATGATTGTATACATGAGTGCTTGTAAATAAGCATAATTACGCACCCAACCTGATAAATGCCTGGTCTCATAATAAGGTGCTAGAATTTGTCCCAACTAAATCCAGTGACTGCAGAGGTTGTTGTTCACAAACACAGTCACGCTCATCATTTGGTGTTCCCCTGCAGGGCGGACACACCACAGCTAGTTAACCATAAAATCAACACATTGAACATTTATAGAAACAGACCACGCTTTTGCTAGTGTAGTCTACCCCAAACAAAAGTGAACCACAAGCTCAATTCAGCAGGTCTACTTTTAGTTCAGTGGGCCACACACAGACTAACACGTGTCCGTGGCTTTCTGGCCTCTGCAAAAGCCAGCAGAGGAATTTCTGATGGCAGTGTCTTGTAATCATGGACCTCTGAGGGGAAACTAATTACAAACTGTTAACCCCGATGTGGTTTCTTTAGAGCAGCATGTCCACTATCCTGTCTCTTTCTGCAGGGGATGACGTTTTTTTGAAGGCCAAGCTCAGAAGTTGGTATCGCACTGGTTCCCTCGACACAAAGCCAATGGGATATTTCCTTTGGATTATTGCAGAAAATAAGATTTGTGGCAAACTTGTTTTCAGCAAGATAATCTTCACACGAACGAACACCACTTTTATGATTTTTGAAGCGAGATTGCAATCGGCACAAGTGTAAAGCTAATGTCGAGCTTTAAACGAACGACACCACGGTCACATGAGGGCGATGTAGACACGAGGCTGTGAAGGCGGACTACTCACTGTGATGACGTTTTGTAGCCTCATTTAGCCACTTGTTGGCAAGACACTTAAAAGCTTCAGAATTCACCAGAGTGGTATTTACTGAGATGTTTTTGTATCTTAGAACAAAATGTTAAAATCCTTGTAAGCTTGTGTTAACCATGGACCTTATTTCAGGCCTCTAACCAAAAACATTGACTTGTCTTCAGCTAGTTTCTGACCTTTGTCTGCTGTTTGGAGCTGAAAGCTTATTTTCTGAAAACCGTACTGCAGAATTTGATGATAAGTTCATTATGAGTGACCACTTTGATAATGCACATGGTACGTCTAGCTTTGATATTATGAATGTTCTTCTCACTAGCACGTAAATGCATCAGAAGATATGTCGACTTCTTAAAACAATGTGCAGCAATGATTGGGCAAGTGTGACAGAAATAATTGCGTAGAACGTGAAGCTGCAGCGGCCACAGTATTTTGACTGCTGTTCCTTCAGAGACACACATTATCACACGCTGTACATGGTTCAGCTACCAGCATATACTCTCTGGTTTACTCTTCCCCTGTCCACTCGCTAAAAATAGCAACCGTATCCTGTAGACCGTCGACCTGAAAACCGCCCAAGGAGCAGGTGTGACGATGATATGCCATGTGCTCTCTTAAAGACAGACCCATTAGTTATCTTTAACCATTTTACTGAGGTCTCCAGCTGGGTAAGCAGTATATATCCACAGTTCAAAACAGTCAATTCTTTGTGTGTGTGGTCTGTGTCCAACATTTAGTTGGTTTCTTAGTTTTTCTTAGCAGTCTAAACTGGGCCGATCACAACAATTTTAATGGATTCAAGTCTCCTCAAATCAAATCTCTGTCTTTAGTTTCTTGCATTTAGTCATTATATAGTTGCAAATACATGATTTTCAGTGTTAACCATCTTGGTAGCTGTTAGTGGTACTCACTGTCACACAACTTGTCATTCGTTCCTCATCACAAAGTCTAGAGGTAATCCACTACCCCCAGTTCAAGCTTGCAATTACATATTTTTTGACTCTGTTCAGAAGCATTCCTCCAGTTATCTTCTGGAGAACGCTGCGCCTCATGAACTTGGTCATTCAGAATGCTTAGATTCCCCTAACTTGGATAGGTCTGCTCTGCTCCCAGTCTGCTGTTTGCCAGGAGCCTCCACTGCTCCCCAGAGAACCCGCATCTCCAGGCCATCAACGCGGCTTTTAATACCCGCGGCAGTGTTGAGGTGACAGCCTAGCTGTCTCCTTTGCAGATACCTCAGGGTTAGTGTATAAACAGGCTCATGTGGCTTGAGGGGTGACAGACTGAGATTGGTTTACACGCAAGTGCTCTGCAGACCTTCGTGGCTGGTGGCGGCAGTGCTGCTGTGGGTTTAATCGGAGAAGAAGGGGAACAGACATGTTTCCAGTCCAAAGTGATGATTAAAGACATGTTGGCAATTAAGTTCAGTGGGAAAATGCTTAATTGAGTTGGCAGAAAATTTTGTGACAATCTAACATGAATACAAATTTGACAGGACAATCACAATTCTTGTCCCTGTTGGCTTAAAAGTCTCTCTACTGCGGTTTCCAAGTTCTAGAAAATCATGATTAAATAATATTTAGGTCAGTTGCATAGCTCATAACTCACATTGTTTACCATTCAGGCCTTTTTGTTTTGTCACACTATGCAAACTAGAAGGTGAACACAGAGGCATAAACTCTCATGAGTCATTGTGTAATTATTCCTAAACTTCAAAACAAACATAATCATCCCTGAGTTAGAATAGTGTTAGAGGTGTTTCCTTTACAAAAAAGAACGTGGGACACAGAAAGCCCAAAGAGAAGCTGCAGTATTTCTGCAGCCTTTTATGCAGGTGGTCTATATTTTGTTTTATATTTGAATGCTCGCGTATACACCAGTGAAGCTGATACAGTGGGAAAACAGTGTTTGTGCAGCTCTTGGTTGCTTTGGAGACACGACGGACCCTGATGTTTCTTGTTATTTGCCTCAAGAATGCTGATCTTGCTGATGGCGAGGAGCCAGGCGTCCATTTGCAGTCCCTCTCTTGTCCTTAAGTTTCACCCTCACCCCCCTTCTCTTTACACCCTATCACTTTTTCACTTGCCCTTCTCTGCTCCGTGCTGGCTACTCTTTGACGTCTCCCGCCGTCAGTTTTCCTCTCTCAATTTTTCCTCCATCTCTGTTCTTGTTTTGCAGGTTTCATTTGGCTGCAATGCGAGGATACCTAGAATGTCTCAATCTCATCCTGGGACACGGCGCTGATGTCACTGCGACTGATGCCACTGGTGAGTTCAGGTTGAATGAAAACAATATCCTGGAGCTGTACTTGTATACTTAGATGGGTTTCTATTATTTTGTCCACCCCCATCGTGTAAATGATAGTAGACCTAACACTAAAAAACAGCTTGTTTACTTTAACAGAGAAGCAGTATTTCTTGGTCAGTGGTTCATTTGAACATGGACCACATGCAAGATATTTGGAAAGAGTGCATTGCCTTTGCTCAAAATAAACCAGTGTGCACCTTCGGGAATGATAAATCTGCAGCGCGTAGTGTCGTTATGCGCGGCCGTTCACTGTGTTTACTTCATTAGATCGCCTGAAGACAGTATATCTATACAGACCTCTTGACATCAGACTGGTCGGTCACAGTATAAATTACAACTCCATATTCTGCTTTTTTATGAAGGAGACGTCTATTTACAAGGGCTCATAGGAGCCGCTTTTCCTTTTATGTTTTATCCTTGAAACACATTGGAGTACAACGCTGTTGTGTAACATTAAATACTAAACTATGTCACCATGTACAAGCTGAGCTAAATCTCTAAAATAACGTCAGTTCGTATCATTTAAACGGTTTCACCAAATTCATTTCTATATATTTATTTTTTTATTATAATAACTGTTTTATAGCAAATCATATTCAGGGTTGATATATTGTAGGTTCTCTTTAAGAATTGCATGACTAACTGATGAATGATATATTGGTCCAAGAAATGTAAATATGTCAATAAAAAGGAAGGTAGTCAACATCCACAGTCGGCGAGCAAAGAAGATTACAAAGTAGCTTAAGAAGTTGATTTTTTTTTTTTATGCCAGCAAGTGTGCTTTCAACAAAGTAGACGGCTCAATACCAAAGTAGAATATTTGACACTTATCCCACCTTTTTAAGATTAAGATATTGAAAAGGAACTAGCATTGTACAGCACTCTAGAAAACTTAATTGGATATATTTTGTCCTTGTCGCTGGACTATCAAATCGTACTGGTCAGTCAGGGCACTACTATTTTTAACACACTGCAGGGACATGGACTGTGAGGAGAATTTGTCATTGGAACCTGGGAGAATAGCTGAAGAGAAACTAGCTTAATGTAAAATCGGGTACACGTTCTGAATCGTATAATGCATTGTGCATAATTTATGTTAAGCTGTGACTCTCTAACTGCCTCCACTGGGATTAAAACTCATGGTCTCCGGTTTGCCAAAGCAGGTTTATGTGCTGAGACGAGCTCAAAGTGATTCACTGATGGATCTAGTGGTGCAATCAGTGGCACTTCATGCAGTAAACTTTAGGTTTTAGCATCAACAGAGCAAACAGAGTGATGTATTCCGGTTGCTTGTGACAGAATAATATGTTTGATTGATGGCGCTTTCATGATGAAGTGATGCAATTTCTGCTGGTGCAGTTTCCCACAGTGCGGTCGTGGACGTACAAGTCCCATCTAACAGGGTCGTTGAGAGCTAATTGCTGATTGAGTTTGGCTCTAAAAATACATTCAATGAAAACCCTTGATTGTGATTGTACTTAACTTTCTGATTTCTTTTGTTGCATTTATTGCTTGCAGGCAAAAACGCTCTTCATCAGGCTTCAAGAAATGGGCATTCTCTGTGTGTGCAGAAACTCTTGCAGGTAAAGTACATTTGTCCTCCATGTGTTCCTCCAACAATATTTGTACCTGACTGTTGTATTTACTCCTTTAAAAAAACAAAAAAAAAAACGTGCCAAACTACAAGATAAGATGTCACATTTCAGCGTTTGTTCCGTTTTCTTGCTCCTTATGTTGGTGTGTTGTGCATCTACACACTCTACTGCATGAATGCTCCAACGGACCTGCTTCCCAGTCACTGGCCAGTCAGAGCAGTTTCCTTCTTTAAATAATTATTGCTAAGCAGCTCTGGCAGCTGAGCCCACTCCGTATCGGTCAACAGTAGGCCCTGTTGAGTCACCGTGTCCCACTGGGGGATTTATGTGTTTACAATCAGGCTGCTATCTCTGCAATATTGTGCTCTCATAGTGTTGTAGCCCTTCCTCTTGCCCCCACCTCTCTCATGGCAGTGATCTAACTGAGGTCGCGGCTGTTGGCAGGGGGTTGTCAGTGGTGTTGACAAGCCTACCCTCCTGCAAACCTGCCGTCCATTCTTGGTGCCGTCATCACACCAGACATAGCAGCTGGACGCCAACACCCACCACCTCCACTATCTCCCTCGTCAGCCCAACCAAACCCTCAAGGTATAGGATATCCCCCCTCCATGCTCCACCGTCAGCTCCCGTGGCCGGTCCAACACCCCCGCACCCGTACAACCCCCGCCTCCTTGGCTTTGTCATTTGAGCGTGCTGCTAATTTCTGGCCCTTGTTGCTAGAGAGAGTTGGGTTTTTATAGTGGAGCTCACTGGCAAGCCTACCCAGCAACATCAGGCCCCTGTTGGCATTGAGTCCTCAAGGCTTTCATAATAGGCCCTCATCACCACAGTGGTACACGCCAACCAGCTGACTGACTGGGTAGAGATGTCACAAGCATATCAGCACAGCGCCACTTAGCCTAATATGACCTGCCTGCTGTTGATCTCAGGTTCCACTGCCCAACCAGTGGAAATGAATAATGTTATTCTACAACTATTAAAACATAATTAAACTATTATTTGAAATAAATACTTAAACCCAGGGATATATTTGATGTGAAACAACCAGTGTTCTCTCCTCTGTTTGGAGTTACTCTTTAGCTAACTTCATTATCCACTGATCCATAAAATATTGAGTTGGCCACATAAGCTACAAGGAAGAAAGGCAACCACTAGTTGGTACTGGTGATTCAACAGCATCATATCCGGTAACTTCCTTTTTTTACAGAGACTGGCCATAGAGGGAAAATATATCTCGAGGCTACGATTTATTAACAAGTGTTGTCAACATGTCCTGATTACTCATCTTGAAGCTAAAGTAAAGCTTGATTAAAGGGTCAATCCACAGCTATCTACAACAAAGACCGTAAGCAGGTGGCGGCTGGAATGAATGACTTGGCCTCGCACAAACAAAACGTCGGAATGATTTAATTTAATTGAGGTTTCAACTTATATCTTGTGCACACACATATGTAAATTGTGACCCTATTTATTTATTTGTATATTATATATTTTCTTCTCTCCATGGACACTCCCGGGCTCCGTGGTTATTCATACCTGGATTGCAAAAAAATACTTTTGAGGTCTCTTACTGCGTTGAATAGGCCGAGCAATAATTCAAATTGATGGAATCATAACGTGATGAAACCATATATTGAGATATTATTTCACACAATTATGTCTCTGCAGGGATCCAGAGATATTTCACAACTAGTAAAATAATCCGCTTTACTTGATTCTGTTGTTTTGCAGAACAACAGTCCAGTTGGAAATGTGGACCTACAAGGAAGAACAGCTCTTCATGATGCTGGTAAGACTCTACTCTAGTTTTTACTCTACTCTAGTATTTACTCTACTCCAGTACTGACTCTACTCTTGCCCCCTCTCTACTCTAGTACTGACTCTACGTTTGTCCTGACTTTACCCTAGTACTGCAGTATAGTGCTTAGTCTACTCTAAAACTGACTCTATTCTACTCAAGTGCAGACTCTACTCTAGTTCTGAGAGTACTCTCTACTGACTCTACTGTAATCTACCCTAGTCTTAACTCTGCTTTACCTTAGCAAAGACGTTACTCTACTTTACTCTGCTGTACTTTATTCTTTTTAACCTTAGTAAGAACTCTACTTTATTCAATTTTACCGTAGTAATGACTTTAATCTTCTCTACCCGTCACTATTCTATTTTATTCTACTTTACCGTAGTAACTACTCTACTCGACTGTATTCTACATTATCTTAGTCACGGCTTTACTTTACTCTATTCTGTTTAAAATAAATGAAAACCCTGATGAGCAGAGCATCCACATGCTCATTAATATGAACCTCGTTGCATAAAAGATTCCAGTGTATTAATGAAACCGTGCGGTCTTGATTTTAAAGAGAGCGCTTGTATAGCTTTTCTCCTTTTCAACACAAAACCCAGCTCCACGCTGCTGCACATGTGATGAAATGATTGCGGTCATTTCTTCTCTTTTTTTCTCCACAGTCATGGGTGGCTGCTCCTCAAGCGTGAAACTTCTCTGTGACAGTGGGGCTTCTGTGAATACCACTGATTTCGTGAGAATTGTTTTCACTTCATTTCACACAGTGTGTCGTGATGGTCACTTCTAAGATATTTTTAGTTCAATTATCATTGTAGAAAAGTGTATTGATTGGCTTGCTCCTTGTCAATGACGGTCATTAATTTCATGAAAGGTTAGTTGGAGCAGCACAAAAAGGTGTTTGATTAATATTAATTTAGTCCACTTGAATGAGCGCTCTCTAAATTCTGTATTACACTCTTTGCTTTGATGTTAGATATGAATTGATTCTTTTGTGTATTTATGTGTTTTGATTTTCTCCAGGATGGCAGGACACCTCTGGTGCTGGCAACCCAGATGTGTCATCCACGCATCTGTCAGCTGCTGCTGGAGCGAGGGGCTGACATCACCATCCGGGACAAACAAAACAAGTAAGAAACATCTCACCCCATCACGGTGTTTGTCTTTGGTTACCTTGTTGGTATATATACATTTTAAAAATTGGCAGTCTGTGTTGCTTACAAAAGGCAGCTTTTGACAGGTGGCGTAGATTATTAACTTAAAACAATTGTAATTTCTGTAGATTTCCTTTTGGGTCTTTCTTTAAGACAGAAAATACTGTATATTCTGTGCCAGCTATTTAAATTTATCATAAAATAAAAAGGTATTTCTGAAAGGACCTTTATCGTACTTACTTTGCAAAAAGGATCATAGAAACCTTGTAGCAAAATCTGTGTCAGGCAGGTGATGAATATCAGTAAAAGTAGAAATTTGAATAAACTGATTTTTTTTTTTTTTTTTTAATGGGAGATGTTGAGAATTTCATCAGTAATAAGATGCTGTATATTTTTATAGAACATTTTCGTGGCCAACTAGACAAACCAGTTTTGTTGGGGGTATAAAAATAAACTAATTCCATGGATTAATTATATTAAATTATATAGATTACAGTAGTGACACAGTATCATATATTTTAGATACTTTGAAAATAAAGTCCCTCAGAACGTCTTGCGCTTCCATTTTCAGTTTAATATGACTTTTACCATCACAATAATGCATTACACGTTTTGCCTGATTCATTTGCTGTGGTTTCTGAGCAGCGTTTCTAACACAAACAAAACACGGTTCTTGAAAATGTAATAAAAAGAACTGGATGTGGTGACAAGAGAAGGACAAATCCGCTCCGCTCCCACAGCTCTGAATTATTCAGCAGCAGTGGAACTACGTGCACAGTGAATTATTTTTGATTTTGATTTGACATCCTCATATTCAGACACAATTGTTCCACTGATAGTTTGTGCATGTTCTCGCTCGTCAACGGTGTTTGTCGACGCCCTCAGGACGGCGCTGATTCTGGGCTGCGAGTACGGCTGTAAGGATGCAGTGGACGTGTTGCTGAAGAGCGGCACCGACGTGAAGGCGGTAGACGGCTTGGGTCACGATGCGTTTCACTACGCTCGCCTCAGCAAGAACCTGGAGCTCGTTGCCATCGTCAAAAGTTACCTCGACAAAGCAACCAGAGGTCAGATGGCAAAAAAACGGCACCAGAGACTAAACACGAAAGAATTCTGTTGCAGTTTATAAGAGCATAGTTTGCATTGAAGCTGAGAATCACCTCACCTTTTCTTTCAAAAAAGATAATCGACATACAGTTTTTTCAAGGTGAAAGAGGATTTAAATCGAGAGCAACACGTCTCTACAGTTTTGTTGGCTCTGTTTTAGCTGCATGACAATATTTATATATTTATTAATTAATTCAGTGATTCTCTTACTCTTATTGGCAACGACAGTAAAATGTGGCACATTTGACATGTTGACATATTTTACACTGTTTTAGATCTGCTGTAGAATCTACAATTATGTCATTGCAGAATGTAAATGTTTGATTTTTATTTTCTAATCTTTGTCAATATGTATTTTAATATCCCACAATATCTTAGGCCATCATTTTGACTTGAAACGTTTATTTCCTGATTCCGTATTTCTCTGATATATTGTTGTCTTGCTTGAGTGCATTCCTTTCCTTGAACATGTTTTGAAGAAACACTGTTCTGTAAACACACATGTACATCTGAACTTGCTGTTTTCTCATTTTGTTCCAGATAAAGAGGCCACGAAGATGGAGCAGTGGAAGCGACAGGTAATCCTGCAGCATTCATTAAACCCCACTTATAGTGAGGAGCAGCCTTTATTCTCCACGCTACTAAACACTGACATTTGGTGTGGCCATTTTTTTTTTTCAGCAGGTCTCTTTGTTAAAAGTGAAGGCCAGTCAAATGCTGAGACTCTTTGAATCCTTTAGATTGTGCTTTTTCTTCCAGTGGTTCCACACTTCTAATCATTTTCTTTGCCTCACTCACTGCCGCTCAGATGTACATGACTGCCATCTAGTGATTATAACTGAGAGTTGTTCTGTACACTTTCATAACCTTTGGTAACGTTATATCTTCAAAACATGGTTGTAAAACAGATCCTGTCTCATCCTCAGCATTCAGTGGAGAGGTCAGAGGCAGCTGAGGTTAGCAGAAGGGATCAAATCATACATGTAAGTGCTGTTTAACGTCAGCCTCCCTATTCTACACACACAAGCAAACTTCATGGCATTTAGGGAGTGTTTGCTTGAATTCACTGCATCCAAAGCCAAACTCAATCATCAAGACATCCTTGTCCATAAAGCAGTGATAAATTATCAGTTGTTTTTAGCATTCAGTAATTGTATTTTGGTCGGTTTAAGTTTTTAAGCTGTGTGTGTGTGTGTGTTTGTGTGTTTGTTTGTTTCAGGACTTGGAGAGGCAGAATGAGACCCTGCAGGAAAGTCTTAAGAAGTACCACCAGGATCAGAGAGCCTTGTTGGATAAAGTCAACGTGCTGCAGCAACAGCTCACACAGGTAAACAACACAACAATAAAACAAGAGCTACTTAGCCAAAGAATAGCTCAGCAGCTTGAGTAACCCTCCAAGCATGCTTTTCCTTTACTGCTGGCTTGTTTTTTCAGTGTGTGGGTACATCTGAGAGTCTTGAACTATAGCTTTCGGTGACAAATATAAGCAATATTAAAAGCTGATTTGAGTAAAGATCTCTTGGCTTAATGCCATCATCCTAATATAAAGGAATGTGTAATCAGCAATCACCAAACACAAAGCAGGCTTTGAGATACTGAATTTGGGATTTTCCTTAGTTGTCAGTTATAATCATCAAAATTAAAAGAAATAAACATTTGAAATATATCAGTCTGTGTGTAATGAATGAATATAATAGACAAGTTTCACTTTTTGAATGGAATTAGTGAAATAAATCAACTTTTTGATGATATTCTAATTATATGACCAGCACCTGCATATATTCTTTTTTTTTTTTTATTCATCTGCAGGAAAAGATCACTGTGGAAGACGCTCAAAAAGAGGTATGAAACTGAAATGATTTATTGGACATTGTGGTTCTCATTCACACTTTTCTCAATTGTTTTCTTGGTTACATTTGTTTGTAAGAGTCTTATTCAGCAGTAGCAGTCATGAGTGCAGACGTCTTACGTTACTGTATGACCTCTGAATCCTAAAAATAAGAGCAAATGAGAGAGGTTGAGGAATGTTGGTGGAGCGGTATCAACTGTACATTTTGAGGTGAAGGGCAAAGGAAGGTAGCACAGTCCAGCTGTGACGTAATGGAACTTGATAACATGCTACCAGGTCCACACATTCAGGATTCAAGGGGAAGTGCTGTAGCAATTCAACCTTTTGTAATTTCCTGAGACAAAAAAAAACAAAACCTAAGTTGGTTCCACTGTTTTAGTCTAAAAGTCGGAAAAGAAAGATCAACAAAAACAAAAATCTATGAATTCCACAAACGTCATTGTGCATTCACACAAGTAAAGGTGTGCGCTCTTTATGTTCCATGAAGGAGGTTTATTCTTCTAGAAGTTGCTGCTTTTGAATTGATGATTATGTGCAGTGACATCCGTGAGTCAGATGTTACGATGAAAAAGCACTTATTTTCAATTTTGCTCCAAACTTGTTCATTAAAAAACGGTGTGGCAGATGTTTTTTGCACATTTCTCAAAAATTAAAAAAATGTATCTAAATGTATTTTGGAGTAGTTGGTATCAATTAAAGTGTATATATTCTCTTTGATATTGTTAAACTGTATTTTCCATCATTCAGTAATCAGTCATTTATTGATCTTTTGTGTTTCTTTCTCTTGAATCAGAAGGATCAGTTGAAGATGTTACTCAGTTCCAAAGAGAGAGAAGAAGGAGCTCGAGGCCAGGAGACTGTCAAGGTTCAGCTCCGGAGTACTTTGGTCAGTGACTTTACTCTTAATCCGATTTTTACTTTGAGCTTTTAATCCTCAACGAAATGAGTGCATTGCTGATTTTCTTTATTTGTAATCAGACTTAATACTTGTGATTTACATTTTCTTTACATTCATTTTCATATCTGAGTGTTGGTTTACCCACAAAGAACATCACTGTCAGTTGCCTGTTTATTAGGTACACCCAGCTAAAACTAATGCAGTTGAACACAGAACACACAACAGTCCTGCAAACAAACAAAAACAAGGTTACGGATATAATGGTCAGTTTTTGTTGGTACTGTTTTAGTGATGTGTTGATTCAACTTCATGGTTAATTTGGAGGATGTAGTTTCTGATGCTTTTGAACTGTACTGCGTTATTCTACTAATATTTTGTCAACCCCATTTACTTCAATGACGGCAGGCTAAAAACATAAGCACCTTTCTCCCAAAGCGATCACACAGTTAAATATAACCTTTCTATCTTCAACCAAAACCGAAAGTCAAAACTGTACCGACAAAAAGGACTATTGTTTTGATAAGTTTACCTAATGAACTGGCAACTGTGTATCTCCTTTGAGAAAATGCAAAATACATGCAGTAAGTTATTTAAATAGATCAGTGTTGCAGTTACCTTAATTAACTAACAAATGCATGACCAAGATGCTGCCTGGTAAATGCACTATATTATGTAATGTATATTTTTTTGTGGTATCTGATGTTGTTATGTCATGTGTTGGAGGCTGGTGTTTAAACCTTTCCTGGCAACGTCTCACTTGTGAAAGAGGTTTTAATCTCAATGTCACATCCTAGTTTATATAAAGGTTTTGATGAATATCTATAAAGTGTTGAAAATAGAATTTGTTTTATGTCTAAAAAGTCAGACCGTTTGTAATGAGTATTTGTTTGTGTGTATTCACAGGGAGACTACTCTGGACAGTCTGTTATCAAAGGTAAGCTCCGTCTCTTGAACCGTAAAGAAACATTTGATACAGTTATTTAAATATTCGCTTGCATAGTATGACGAGGTTTGTATGCTGTTTTTCTCGCAGGTAAAGAAAACATTTTGGTCAAACAAGCTCAAAGCCTGGACTCTGAACGGGTACGTTTTTATCTGGAATCGCATGACTTTCAAATGTCTAAAGTACAATGTTAGTAGTTTGCATTTGAGCAATCTGTGTTAACAGAAGGACCTGCATGCAAATTAAACTGTTTATACAGTATTCAGATCCTGATTGGAAAGAAAGCCGAGGAACCTTTTTTGCGAATGTATTACAAAGCAATCAACAACTCTTCGCTAGTCTCAAATAAAGTGTCTGGCTTTCTATAGAAATAAATGATAATGCAAATTAAAAATGTTTTTCCTCATTCACTGCTGATGCTCCAGAATCCTGCCCTGTTGCGTTCGCTGTCTCGAACTCCAGAGAAGAGTCATCCCACTGCAGGCTGGGACGTCTCTGGCGAACTCGACGCCCTGCTACGTGAACTCGAGGCGGTCAAGAGAAGACAACAGGCAGCGGACGAAGAGACGGCACGACTTCAGACTGCCCTGAACCGTAAGAACCGAGAGTGCCAAGAGCTGGTTCTTAGCCGAGAAACCATCCAGAAACAGGCTGACCAGCAGGTTCAAGAACTGGAGGACGCCTTGGGGGACGTCCAGAAGAGGATGCTGGATTCTGAGTGTAAGGTCAAACAGCTGCAGGCCCATGTCGTCGCCGTTAAGGAACACTTAGGGGGCCAGGCAACAGAAGAGCTGCGCTCTCAGCTCCAAGATATCAAGGCCAAGTATGAAGGCGCTTCGGCCGAAGTGTGTCGCGTTCGTAACCGCCTCAAACAGAGCGAGAAGGCTTTGGAGGAGTATAAGAGCAGCGAGAACCAGCTGGCGCTAGAGGCAGAAAAGCTGAACCAAGAGCTGAGCGCTGCGAGTGCGGACAGAGATGAACTAGCAGAAACCCTTCTAGAAATGGAAAGCCACTTAAAAGAGACCCAGACTAAACATGGCAACACAGTGCCAGCTGAGAAGTTTGACAACATGAAAAACCTGCTGAGCAACGCAGTTGATGAGAAGGAACGGCAGATCGCTGAGCTGAGGGAAGACTACGATCGCGTGCTGGAGGAGGTGGCAGACCTCCATCGAAAGCTGGACAGTCCGTCATCCCAGGGAGGATCGGGGGCGAAGTCTGCTGAGGAGCAGCAGAGGATACGGGCAGCCTTCGAAGAGCAGAACGCTTCTTTGAAAAGGAAACTGACCGATGTGACGGCCAAAAGCCAGGCTCTAATTCAGGAGGTGGAGGAGAGCGAGGAGGAGAGAGATATACTACGAGAGCAGCTGGATGAGCTCAACGGCAGGATTGAGATGGACTACGTTCCCATGACGGCGCACAATGAAGCCCGGAGGAACATGGAAACGGCGTTGGAGGAGCTGGAGGACAAACTGGTGGAAGCCAGCGAACGTTACGGAAAAGCAGAGGCGCAAGTCCAGCAGCTTCAATCCGAGAAGCCAGCGCTGCAGGAGAACATCAGCAGTCTCCAAAGCGCCAGTGAGAGACGCCTCAGCGAAATGGACGCTCTGAGATCTCAGAACGCCGACCTGATGAAGAAACTTGAACTTTTGCAGAAGAGATGTGACGACGGCGATAAAGAGTGTGTGCAGCTGACCACGCTGAGCCAGACTCTGAAGCAGAGCTTGGAGGGAGAGTATGTTCCCAGACAGCAGCACGAGCAAGTGAAGATGGAGTTAAGTTCCACCTTAGAGAGTGTTAAAGCTGAGAGGTTGAAGTTGGAGACCAAGGGTCAAGAAAGTGGGGAAGAATTGAAGAATGTGAAAGAAAGAAATGAAAAGTTAAATGAAAAGTTGGAAAAAGTCCAGTTGGAGATGAAAAAGGACTATGTGAGCGTAAAAGACCACAAAGCTATCGCAGACAAGTTGAATGCTGCTGTGGTCGAGGCAGAGAATAAAGCAAACGAACTGTCAGGAAGTTATGTGTTGGCTCAGGAGGAAACAGTAAAGCTTACCCAAGAACTGGAAGCGCAGACGAAAGAACTTGATACCATACAGGAGGCAATTAAGTCCAAGTTTATTCCACTGACAGCAGCCGAGGAGAAGGATCACTCTCACAGCGCTCAGGTGAAGGAGTTGACAGTGAAGCTGTCGGAGATGGAAGAGAAGTACAACAGAGAAACGTCTGCAAGAGAGAGCATCAAACAGGAGAACGGGAAACTAAAAGTCGAGATTGAATCTGTTCAACGGAGGCTAGACTCTGCTGTGGTTACCGGGGAGAAGCACAAGAATGTGGAGGAGGAGTTCAAGAATAAATTTGAGGGATTAACTCAGAAGTTGGTCAAGGTAGAGCAGCAGCACGAGGAGGTAACGCTTCAGAAAGAGGATCTTCAAGAGCAGAACGCCCTCTGTAACGCTCAGATCCAGAATCTCCACGAGCGTCTGAAATCGGAGTTGACTCGGATTGCAACATACGACACGGAGCTTAAAGTGCTCCATGACGCCATGCAGCAATCCCAGGCCGACTGCAAGAAAGCAAGAGAGGCTCAGCAGGAGGAGGCCCACAGGGTTTGCGCCTTGCAGAAAGAAGTTCAGGAGCGCTGCGGGGATCGGGCTTCTCTGCTGCAACAAACAGCCAAGGCCAAGGATGCCCTGGAGGCTGAGGTCGCTAAGCTTCGTTTGGCTCTCCGTGAAGAGGAGGAGAACGGCGCCCAGAGGGCCGAAGATGTGTCTGCCCTGCAATCTGAGCTCCTTCAGGCCACACACGCTCACGCGGAAATTAACTATAAAGAAGACCAAATGAGCCAGCTGAAGAAGGAGAAGCAGCAGCTGGAGGAGGAGGCTGCCAACATGAGCAACAAGCTTCTGAGCTTAGCAGAAGAGGGCAAAGAGGCCCGTCGGGAGGCAGCGCAAGCGAGGGAGGGTGAGAGCCGAGCCCGGACAGAGATGGAGGCTGTCCAGGAGAAGGGACGTGCCACCGAGAGAGAAATCAGGGAGCTGAAGGAGAGATACGAGGAGTCGCTCGCCACCATCTGCGATCTTCAAAGGGGGATTCAGAAATCAGCTCAGCAGACTGAAGCCAAAGACAAAAAGGTAACTTTGCTGTCAGTCATTGTTTTATTAATCAAACTACTTTTGGTGCGTTTGACTTTAGCTAAATATAACTACTATGGATGCTAAATGTGAGAATCCTCTATTGACAATAGTTTGTGTCTGTTTAGACACAAAGGGTGAAAAAGATACTAGGGATGAAATTCTTCTTACAGTTTCGTTGCCTGGTTGATAAAGTAATGATAAATGGATGAACATTTGTGTGTGTGTGTGTGTGTGTGTGTGTGTGTGTGTGTGTGTCAGATCACAGAGTTGCTGACAGATGTTGAGCGATTGAAGCAGGCACTAAACGGTCTGTCCCAGCTGGCATACACAAGCAACGCGCCCAATAAGAGACAGACGCAGCACATCGAAACACTCCACACCCAGATCAAGACCCTACAGCAACAGCTGGCTGTGAGTGGACACACAGAAGATTACGTTGACATGTGCATATTGTGCTTTATATTCCATTTACTGCACAGTAACTGTCTTTTGGTTAAAGACTGTCTGTCTGAAAAACACCATTTTATTTTAAATGCTATTTACACAATGATATTTAAAAAACGAGATAATAAATTAAATAAAAAATTTAGGCTTCACAATCCATGTTATTTTGGTTTAGAATAAAACGTATGGAAACTACATTAAGTGACTGATTTTAGAATGCATTCATTCAACCTTTATTTTAACTCAGAAATACATCGATGCAGAGACCAAATCTACAATATAGGAGAGTAAAAAAATAAGCACCAACAAAGACAAATAAGAAACCTAATAATAAATAATGCAGTTAAGATTCAAGACAAATTAAAACAAGAATAACTGGAAGTGAAATAGTAATGAAATTAAAGATTTAAATTGGTTGAAGTGAGGTAAGCTGTAGCTTGTTCAGCATGTGATCATGATGGTGATTACAGTGTGTATACCTCCTTTACTTGATGAAAATACACATTCAACATCTCCATTCCTTTATTCAAATCTAAAAATACAACCAACTGTAGAAAGAAATGTGCTGTTCATATCGTAACAGTACGTTGTGCAATGCTTAATGCTTCTCTCTTCTGCTCCATAAGGATGCTGAGAGGCAACACAGAGAGGTGGTTTCCATTTATCGGACTCATCTTCTCAGTGCAGCACAGGTACGTTTCTCTCTTTAATCTCTAACGAGGGTGAGGGTCCTCTGATTTTCATTCCCATGAATGGTCTTCGGTTCTGTTGTTCAGACAGTTACACTGATATGATGAGCATGTTGAGAACAGTCACAATGTAACTTGTTGAATCATTTTCGTTAAAACCCTTAATTGCTTAAAAAGGGCAGACCACTTTGTCGATCCTTGGCCATCCCTAGCAACACTTTTCCGCTTTTGATGAACTACACTTCTAAAAACCTCCCTTCACAGATGTTATTCGCTAGTCATAACTTTCTGCCATCTGGAGAGCAAAAGGAAGTAATTGACAGAAATCGGGAGCCGTCACAACAGCTGCAGCACGGCTCTAGTTAGCGTGCAGTCTACAATTTTTGAGAGGCGAAACAAATCACAGAAGGCTCGTACGACACGCAGGCAGTGCACGTTAAAACAAGAAACGACCACTGCAATCATTGAGTTATAGGTAGAAAACCAGTAAAAGATGTTGTGAAGTCTGTTTTATTGATTCATGGTTTAGCTTTCAACAAATCAAGATCGGTCAACTTTCAGCACTTTGTCGCCATTCAAGCGAAGAGATGCTACCTCGTATGTTTACACTTCGGTAAAATGTGTGAAAGTCTGCTGATTATTTGAGGCAGCCAGTGCAGATGGTTTGGTAATGCTAATGGCTGGAAGTCCAGTGGGAGCCGGCTGCAAAATCATTCGTCAAAACAAGAAAAAAAATAATGTATCACTCAGCCCAAATTATCTGAACATATGAAGGTGTAAGTGCACTGCAGCTGTCAGGAGCTGATGCACAGGATTACCCATTATGCGAGCGAGTAATTGACAACAGAGCTTTTAGTAGAGAAATGCGATACAAATGGATTAACTGAAGCTCATTTCTGACTGTGTTTCTCTCTCGCAGGGCCACATGGACGAGGACGTGCAGGCCGCCTTACTGCAGATCATCCGCATGAGGCAGGAGTTTGTGTGTTAAAGCTTCCTCTGACGAAATGAAACGCTGCCTGCTGACTCAAATTCACCATTTTCACATCTCCTACTACTGAGTTCACCTGCTGTGGCCCCTGTGGGTGCCGTGTGTGTGTGTGTGTGTGTGTGTGTGTGTGTGTGTTTGCTTGTTTGTCATTTGGCAAAATTTCCAAAACAGGCTTCTTCTTTTTTGGTGGTATGGCTGCACTTTGCTTCCCAAAAATCAATGTCGTGGGTAAAAGTGAATAACCGTAGATCAAGATACAAATTATTTCAACCTGCGTATATCCCAGCGAATGAAAACTTTAATTAAAAAGGTTATTGTGTCAAACTGACCTGTGAAATAGGGGTGTCACTTTACAGTTATCTTGTTTCTCTGTCATCTCGACTCCGACTCCGTCAGTTGCCATAGTGTTGCAAAAAGTGCATTTGCAGGCTACCAGTAAGTTACGCTGCACCATCTTTCAAGTGTTTTTCTTCTTCTTTTTTTTTTTTTTTTGGAAGAGCGCAAGTAGGCGGAGGGAATCGTTTGAAATTTAAAATTATTTTCGATCACGTTTTGATCTAAAATTGAAATCGTGACATCCTTACTGTGAAACCATTTTGACTCATTCGATTTTTGACGTACGTGCAAGAACGTTTTTCACTTTCCGTACATCTCTGTGGGATCTGTTATCCATGACAATGCAAATCAGTGCACCGTTATTGCCACTTTAACGGTGATATGGGGAGTTATGTGACATGTAGGACCCTTTCATAGATTACTCACTCTTGACATGCTCGGCTGAAATGTAAAATGGACACGAACACAAAGACCACTCTTCACATTCCCCCCCTGACGGTCGGCTCTCATGCGGTTTGTTTTCCCGTTGGACAGCATTGTTCGCTAGAATTTGAGGGATACGTTCACATTTTTTTCAAGTGAACCTTAAAGGCAGAATGAGTAGGATTTTCCTATAAAACAATATAGACTGACACAAAATGAATCCCTCTTAATAATCACTTATGTTTACAAACTGCAAGCGACAAATTCTACTCGTCGTGCCTTTTAAAGGATAGTTTCACGATGTTACAAGTCTGAACACTGAAATAGGTCTTATCTTCTGTAAACCTCCTATTCATACTGGACACTAAAAGATCCCTGAAAAAACGTGTGAACCTATCCTTTAAACCAGTACTCACCTGCTCATACATAATGTATATAAGAAGCTGTAAATATCTCTTCATAACACGATTCAAATGTAAGAGATGTTGGCTCTTTGCAAAAACACATTTCAAAGTTGAACCATTACCCACATGATTTGACGAACTGTCTCACAGAAAGGACTGTGGATTTTGTCCCACATCTCTTACATTAGAATACTTTTTATAAGGAAACCCCTCACATGGACAGAAGGATTGATAATGGCCTCCAATAACTTTGAATGCACATGTTGGCAGAATTGTTTTAAGACCGACTTAAAAGAATGTGAACCTATCCTTTGACTTTGTTCATGTCAGCTACTTTCTCTTTACTCACTTTGTGGCTCAGTTATCGTCTCCTGGAAGTCCAAACTAGCTCTCGTGTTTTCAGAATAATCCCAAAACCCGAAGAGTGTAAAAAATCGTCCAAATCTGTACTCGCCATTTTTTTGCAATATGGTAGATAGTACTATAGATTTGGGAGCCATGTCACTCATACAGCCTGTTTTAATCTGGACGTGGTTTTTGCTGGATTTGAGTCATGGAGGGAGTGGAGATCTCTTGCCATGTCCTACAGTTTGCAGTGGCACGTCGTCCTTTTTGTTGAAACCAGAGTGTCCTCTAGTGGAGAGACTTGGCAGGCCAAGTTGATAGAAGTTGTAATAATCAGCGTGGCCCAGGGGTAGGCAGCTGTTGCTTTAGGAAGCTGGACTATCTGCAAATGTGTTAAATCTCACAGATAACTGAGAGAATATGAAATGTGAATGTAACACTAAATTGACAGAGCTTTATCTCCTAATATCTATTGCTTTGCAATACTACATTTATACCATACCTCGTTTTAAAGACAGCATATGTCCCAGTTGAAGCTTGACTTAATACAAAACCCTGATTTCTGCAGCAGTGAACTCTCCTAGAGCAAAGGCTTGCGTACCCCTGAGCCAGCTCTTTGTGACTCTTGATGGTGTAGTGGTGTTGTGATTGTTGAGCGAGTCTCCTATGCCTTTACACTGATATATTTTTCATAGCTTTGTACTACTTTAATTACTGTACTACAGTGTGATAATTCTGATATTCAGCGGGTCTGGAAGTAGAGCGGCACAAAACACGTTCAGGGTAACATTTACTGTAGTGTGATCCGAATAGAGCAGATCCCTCTTATTTATGTGGATAAACAAAACCTCTTAACGGTTATTTCTGTGACGCACTTCTGTCTTTACCTTCCAGCTTTACCAAGTTAAAATTCTCGCTCTGTTTTTATATTTTGGTCAAAAACTCACACCAACAGATGGTTTAGTAAATACTTCTTGCATTTTGTCATGCAGATGTTATGAATCATTATTTACTGTCTTCCATCTACTGTTAACATAGACTGTTAATTGAATCTATAAACAACTATACTGTGTACCAGTCTTTGTCTTTGACAATAATCTTTGTGTTTGTGACTCGGTAATACAAAATCAATAAAAGTGCCTAACATAGAAAACCACATTTTTGTTCAGTGTTTTTGTATTTCCAGACTTGAATGCCTCAACAGCTATTGGTGGATGGATGGATGGTTGCGACAGGTCGTACAGACCTTCATGGTCCCCAGAGGATGAATCTTACAGAATTTGGCAACTTCCTAACTTCCTCTAGCGCCACCATCAGGTTTAAAGTTTTTCCTTGCGCTGTTAAACGTCAACATTTTACTCAATGGATTGTCAATTTGGTACATTCATGGTCCCCACATGATGTATTTTAATGACTTTGGTGATTCACTGACTTTTCATGTAGCGCCATCATCTGGTCAAACTGTCCATTTGTCCAATATTTTGGTTTATAACTAAATACCTTTGAATCTAATTATATTTACCATCAGCTGCAGCTGAACTCTGTGCTAAATGCAGATTAACCTGGTGAACATGAAAAAACCCTTCATCTGCTAATCATCAATATGTTGGCATTGTCACTCTCAGTATGTTAGCAGGCTGGCGCTAGCATTTAGCTCAAAGTGCCTTGTGGCTATGTACAGCCTCACAGATCTGCTGGCTAGATAAAATGTGGAAGATAAAATAGAACTTTTTTCATCCCAAGGAAAATTGTTGTTCTTAGTTGCTGTACAAAGTAGGAAAGAGTGCAAAAAATATCAATAAGGTGCAAATCCAAGATATACACATTGTCAAAAAACACACACACAGGTTAACGGTGATGATCATTCTTAGTGGGTTGCATAAATATGTGTGAGAAGTGGAATATAGTTCTGCATGTACAATATCAAATCTTAATAAAAGTTAGTATATATGGTTAATTAAGTGTTAAATAATGTCCCATAGGAGCTGTAATGATTGCAATCCATGTGAGACAGCATGGCTGTAGACCCTGTAGTCTTTATTTTCTCTTTTTCGCTTCTTACTAAAAGAAATGGGAAATGTCCTACTGTACATAAACACACAATATTCTGCCAAAAGCAGAATAGTTTGGTTTATTTTATGAGAGATTTCTGTCATTATCTTTTTGTTCTTACTTTTGTTTGGCTGGGGTTTGTTTTGTGGTGCGGTCTCTGTAAGAAAAATCTGCTAACACAAACTTATGTGCACCAATCAGGATTTATCGATATTTTAATCAAAATGTTTTACAGTTGTGGGGTTTGTTTTCGTATGTTGCCAGGCAACTGTGAATCAAATCAGATCAAACAACACCCGTAAAGCCTGATGAAGCAAATTAGCCGAGTTTGTTTTAATACCCTTTGATATTGATGGTTGCTTATTGAGTCATGAATGTTTTATGTTACAGAGAAATACCAAATGTTCAGCGGCTTTAGGGCGGCCTGTAAATGTGTGCTTTTAGCTCCACACACTCTTGTGGAAACGGCTCAGTACATGTGGTTTCACTTTAAGTACAATCAACCCAGGAATGAGAGCGAGTAGCTCTTTGGCACACGGCGCTCACTTTTATCTTCGAGCCCGTGCCTCTATTTATTTGTCTGTTGGTCTTTCTTTTTTTTTTTTTTTTCTCTTCACAAGATTTATTTTTCATTAAAGCTCTTTTTCGACCGCGATGCTGAGAACAGAGATCAAGGCTATTTAAATTATCGCATTTCAGATAAATTCACTGCATGCACCGTCATTGAGCACGGGGGAATTTTTCCATTTAAAGTACAGTTGAAATGGCCTAAAAATAAAAAATAACACACACACACACACACACAAAAGCTAATCCATCCCTTATCCCATCCTCTGTTCACACAAACATGCACACACCCTCTAATTGATACAAGGCTTGTCCTGGGTTTGATTTCTTTGAGAAAAGCTTGCTGGTTTCAAGTGGCAGCCCTCCTCTCCTCTCCTCCTCCTCCCTTGGCTTTATGATTCTCTTTTTTGCGGTCTGCACTGAATAAGCTGTTCTCAGCAATTATGGCAAATACAATTCAATCTGTTGGTAGATCTCTCTTTAATCTCATTTCCAGGGCCCTAATCAGTCCCATACAGCCACTTGCGGCCATTTGGTTTACCATCGTAACCCCTTTCCCGGCCACAAAGAATTCATCTTTGTAAATATTCGTCATCCCGCGAAGGATCAGAGACTTTATTTATGTTGGAATAAGCCCCGGCCGTCCACCGCATGCCTCATGAGTGGTAGACTGGAGGAGGAAGCAGGTTGGTTGGTTATATACACACATCAGATACACGCCCACGTCTTTGCTTCCAGTCCTTTGAGCTGTCACGAACGTTTGTTATCACACACAGCGGTCTGCCACCTCTGCTGCGCTCGTTCCCTGGAGGAGTTGCTCCGCATTGTTTTCCGTACAGAATCTGAGAGGCCCTCTTGTGTCTCACAGGAATTGTGAGAACTTATGGTTTTGAGCACCTGACACATGTCATAGCGTTCTTAAACTCTTCTCATGTGTGGTTGTCTTCACCCTCTCTCTCTCTCCTACATGGCCGGATTGACCTGCTTGGGGGCCACACGCTGAAGATTCACTGTTGGGGCCCTTCTGGTGCCTCCGAATTCTCCGGTACTCCACCTCCACTGCCCCCCCCCCCACTTGACTAATGATGGACATGAGGATCAAAATTTGCACATCACAACCAGATATATCATCTTTTTTTTATTCCACGTATTCTTCTTTCTCTGGGCCTACATTACCCACAATGCAACTCGACCGCCAACATTTCTGTTTGAGACTCTGGTGTGTGATGCTAGTTCAGCTAATGTAACCTCCAGCTGCCAGCCACAAGCTGACATGAGGTCTGCGTAGTGAACTCACTTCTTTTTAACTCCACACCTCCAGATTTCTTTCATTTTCATCCTCGTAGTCTTTGGCCTCAACCAATACTGCCACACGTGTCATCTCTTGAAACTTATTGTACTTTATAGCTCCCTCTGGACCCACAAAAGGCTTCATACAACTTTCTTTTCCACATGTAAGTGGAGTTCCCCTTTTAGGTACAGCGCACACACTGGCAGTTTCATTATATTTTCAACCTAACAGTACTCTTATACTGGAGTACTTTCTGACTCAGTTTCTGTATGTCTGTTTGTGGTAATTTAAACAACTTTATTTCGGAAAATGCCCCATGTGAGCACTTTATGAACTGAAAGTTGATATTCAGTGGTGCAAATCTTTTCCGAAATATGCAAGTAATCAAACAACTAAAGAGGACAGGGCTGCAGTTATTCGGCCTTACTGTCGTATCCTCTCTTTTCTTTGCCTTCTCCCCACTGCCTACTCCCTTCCTGCTGTTTTACCTGTTGTCTGTCATCCTTCCTTCCTTCCTGGTTAATTCCACAGGTCAGGTCAGTCAAGAGGTCTGTGCCATATTTGTCTCCCCAGAGTAATTGCTAACTATTTCTCTGTCACTAATAGGTCATTACTCAGGCGGTGCTGGCCGGCCTTCTCCTGAGGCTACACTGGGGGCAGCGAACACGAGGCCAGGGGCCCCCTCTTTTTTTCATTAGTCCCCCGAGGAATCGGACTACTCTTGGCTCCAGGCCGAGACAGGCGAGGCCCCTTTAATGTTTTTGCAGAGCTCCAAAGCACTTTGTTGCCTCAATAAAGTTCATTTATGGGATAATAAGGCTCTGGAGGACACATGGTGCTGATTTGAGTGGAATGGTTTCAGCATGGCTCACATTCCCAAAAGCAAGCGCTGTCTCTTCCATCTCTTTCCTTTATTTCGTCTCGCTTCTTTTTCTATCTCCACTCCTCACCTTTCGTCTTGCTCCTCTCCTCGCATCCCCCTGAACTCTTTATCTGCCGTCATTTATTATTCCTCCCTCTAACATTTTTGGCAGTGTAACTGTCTGATCCTGGGTTGACCTGGGATTTGCACACCTGGGAATGAGTAGCGGTGAGGGGGCAGGAGGCCCTCTCATTTCCCAGGATTTATTCCAGAGAGCTTGGAGAGGGGAAGGCAGTGGGGGTAGACGAGGGAAGAGAGGCGATCAGAGGAATGAAAAGCCTCAAGCCTCAAACCCTGGCAGGAGGATCAGGCTTTACATGCCAAGACTACACCAGAGCCGAGTGCCCCGGACATTTGCTGTATCAAAGGTGTGGAAGTACATGTATGGGATACATGCATTAAACAGATTCCTATACTCTGAGGATGGTTTTAAAACACACAAGCACAGATAGATTAGAAACAGGCCCGACCTCCACCTCTTTTTATCCCTTTGGTTATTGCACATGAGGCTTACATGAGTGCTGGCCATCTTTCCCTGAAACCCGGTAAGGACATTGTATACCACTGTATGCTAAATGGTTTCATCTGAGTTCAATGTTTTTCTTTTTCCCCTCATTAGTAGTTGGTTAACCACTAATGCTTAGAGTATCTGCTCAGCTTTTCTTCCTCCCTTCATTGACTTAGCAAGAAACAGATGGGCCCAAACCGCCACATCTCCCGCTCCCTCCTGACTGTCATCCTTCCCACCACTTCTTTCACAATAATCCCTCCCTCTCAAACGGAAAATAGCCCCGGTTTTGCATGTCTGCTCGTGGCGCAACACATGAGATGGTGTATGTGGTTTAATAGGATAAGGCTTTTGGGGTTGCTTGGTGCTTGGAAACATGGCTGAGGCTACCTCTGGCTGCTTCAATCATCTTAAAGACATTGGGTTAGGCCTGAGGGTGTGAGCTTGAGCTTGTTAGTGCGGTTGGAAAAGGCTGTGTTTGATTCCATGATGACGGCCGGATGAAAAGCTGCGAGTCTGGAGGACTGACGTTGATTTGATGTTGGCGTTTGGGAGCCGCTGCATTTTCAGTTGTGGTATCTTGTGATGGCATGTTGGCTGGGTAGCCAGTTCAGCCGAAACCGACCACTGACACGAAGGGTGGCTCAGTGATACAGTGAGGACTAACCGTTATGTTACTCAAGCTTAAGATAGAGATAGAGAATGGAGTGGTGGGGATATTTTACTTTCTGCAGCATTGCTCTATTTGGGAAAAGCTCCAGCCGTATTTGAATACCGCACCTCAACAGCTTTTTGCCACTTTAACCAATAGGAACCCA